ATCCAGCAGTTCAACGATTCTGCAATCCTCCACCAATGCCCCTTTTCCTGAACACGTGCAGGTGCGTTTACTGTTTGTATTGCTGTATTAATGTTGAAGCGATGTGGTGTAGTGGGAAGTGGCACGCTCACCATGCGGCCTAGGGATCAAATCTCGGAGCGGCTCCTGCACAGGCCAATCGTGCCTTCTGTCCTCCAGCGACGGTAAATTAGTAACAGACTCCTCTAGGAGGACAGGAACACCGATTTGTACACTTTACTTTAGCTGACTCTGCAAGTCATTGTATATGCTACATACCATTCGATAAGTTACTACGATTCTAAATCGGAAGTACAATCCGTGCCGCATCCCAAAAAAGGCTTGATCAACGGCGAAGGCGTCATCCTTTATTGCTGTATCGCCTTCAGGAAGAGAAACAGGGAGCGCGAAAAATCTCTCCTATGTTTATTCTCTGTCGAAGTCGACTGGGGAGCGTGCACCTCTTATTAGGCTGTCTAATCAATTCGTTGGGCGCTACGCCTTGTTTCGGCGTCCTTGGATTCCATTCCTCCTACTGGAGGCGGAACCCCCTCTACAGCACTCGTTTTACATGCAGGCCGAGAGGTTCAGGTTGCCGAGTGCTGTGAAAGTTGATCACGCGCGCGGAACGTGCACCAATGTCCGAATCTTTGACCGTGGTGCCCCATAATGTTCCGAGTCAGATGGTTGTTAAATACGCGTAGTTATATCGTCGTCGCAACTCGAATTTCCCCAACAACATTCGATGCGTTCTATACAAGCGGACCCCTGCCAACTACATTGCCGTGACATTCAGTGCTCACATTATTTAGGTTATGGTACAACGGATGTCCGAAATATGCACAGTACCATTACGCTTCACAATATATTTATTCGAAGGCTGAGAAAGGAAAGAGAGTCCGTGAGTTGAAAAAAGAATCATCTATAGAAGTGCATTTTCATATTTCTTTAATAAATAAAAAAATTGCCTCTTTATTCAGCTGGACCGTACATAGCCAATCCGAATCCATACAATATCCCTACGGGAGCCAACCAACCTCCTCTGTCTGCAGCTGGTCGTCCTACGCGAGAACAAATCTATTCAGACAAGTAGCTAATCCTGTTTTCAAAAATACTTCCTTTTTCCGAGTGATTTTCCAAAAGTTCTTATATTGCAGTCCACAAAGTCTTCGTCCATTGGCTCGTTCATCCAGTACGCTGGCCATTCCTCCTCCATTACCGGACTCTGTCAGGAGAGATGCTGTTGAGGGAACTTCTCGCAAAGAAAGCACAAGAAAGACGTAAGCATCAAATGGGTAATTTCCATCTGAACCCGTAAAGCTCCTCCAAGGGAAGGGACCACAGCATGAGCATAGATCGATCTCCTCAAGGGCTCGTTCCACGCTGATCCTTCGGGCGGCCACAGAAAAACATTTTTCCTTCCGCATTTGATATTGGTCTTTACTCTTTACTACCTACTATATTGGTCTTTACTCTTTACTACTAAGGGAAGATCACCTAAAAAGAGAGAAGAGAAATTATTTGCTGAAGTCTCTCTAGTCTACTCGAGAACCGCGTATGTGGCAGGTTAGAAAGAAATCCCGCAATCATTAGCTGGAATAGAGGGATTCAAATATGATTTTGCAGGTGCTTGTTGAAAAGTTTGAAAAAAAGCAGAAAAAGGCCAAAGCGCCCTGCATAAGATTCCTTTTAACGGTTAATCGTGATGGGCGGAAATCATTTTCCATGTGCTTTGATGCCCTTCCACAGAGGATGCACCACACTTCAGCGCTCTCGCTCTATGACGATTATGTACCATTTGCAGACTACGTTGTGCCGGAAGGGGGGGCCACGCATGACAACCTGGAGCGCAAAAGGTGAGGTCAACCTGTCTATAAGGGAACAAGTATGTGGCCGAGCTCGCGTCTGTATAGGTGTATTTGTTTCACCCTTACTTTCCGAGGATTTTTGCAACTTAATAAGTGTTCGCTTCTTCGAATACCCTTCCCCAATGCTGAAGCCTTATTTCGGGCGTCTTTGACGACTCTCCACTACTTTCAACTGCGAGATAAGGTAGGCAAGGAAGAGAAGAGAGAGAGAGAGAGAGAGAGAGAGAGAGAAAGTCGACTGAGAAGACAGACACGAGCAACTGCCAGATCAGGTTCATCTCAATATGGGGCTTCTCCTGGTGGTGGAGTCTCCACAGAGCGCCTTTGTCGCCACTTTCCGTGAGGAAAGGTGGTTGCTTGGCCTCTGTGACTGCTTGTACACGTTGTCATTACACGTCAGTGGGTACAGCGGGATATGTCTTTGATTTTTTGCAGAAATCGCTTCATTTGTGCTTTAAATGGTGCGTTACTTATCGTTAGGGCCACCGCTCACTATAATAGCATTCAAAAAGGGTCAGGAAATCTATACGGCTCATAAGATGCATATTTTCAACGCGCATTCCCTTAGCATGTGTCTGGTATTCGTGGATATGAAGGGTCATGAATTTTTGAAAGATTTAGGAAAGAAGGACACAGAAGTTGTGTGACTTTAGATCTGGTTTTTTATATCGCAAAAAAACCTTTTCGCTCACGAATAATTTCGCGGTATGAGGCGCACATAAATTAGTGATGGATGTTTCGAAGAGGAGGGAGCAAAGGGGGGTCAGACAGGCAGGTTTTAGAACGACATAATCGAAGTGCATTACTACTGCTTTTCCAAGAGCCGTCCGTCTTGTGAAACTATTACGAGTGCCCTCATTATTTTTTTTCTCAACACAACTGGACATACTCATGATGACGCTTCTAATCAAGACCACATATTTTTGCAGTAGAAGAAGAAACAGATGAAAGCCATCCACCTCGTCAAATCGCTGAAGATACGGAAGAAGTTGCCCGCGGTTCGTGAAAAAGTAGAGAGCTATTGGGCGACCAGTACGAACAGCACTTTTCCTTCTACTGTATCGGAGACACCGATCATACTGGACAGCATGAAGCGGTTAGTTCCTGGAAGCTGTACCGATTTTTTCCAGCTGCAGGATCGTCTTCACAATGATCGAGGGAATTTCTTTTTTTAGGAAATTTCGAAGTTCTGCCCGGCATACAAAGCCGCGTGTGCTCACAAGCGAATCACGTACGTTTATCAGTTTCGGATAATCCTGGTGAACGAAAGTTAAGAGGAAGAAAACAACCTAAATGACCTTCCTAACCACTGAATTAGTCGAACTACTGTTTCTCCCTCCCCTCAGAAACTCGCTAGTGTCGGACTAATTAGGAGCCCTGTTCGGCCTGGGGATGGACAAAATAACGTGGACATCCGTCCGTATCGCGCGACGCGGTGGCGGCAAATTTTTTGCGTGGGCTTCGTGTTTGGCTAGACTAGAGTAAAAACACAGCAAAGGCAGTAGGCAAGAACACAATCTCTCCATCTCTGTCAGTACTGAATTATCAAACCGCCGGCAAGACAACTGCGTACTCTCGTGAGCGCGGCCATATATTACGATTCAATTGTTACAAGACCGTTCTTTTTAGAACAGGAGGGCATTTCACACTGCTTACTGTTTTTTCTTGTAAGTTTTCCTTTGGATTACAACTGCCTCACGCGTATGACACCCTTCAAGTACTGGAAGAACTAATATTGCGTTTTTCAATTTTTTCGACACATATCTTTGCGCTGTTCGTTCTACTTTATTTTTATTCTATTCACTATTTCAGCTCATCAGTTTCGCTGACAGCTTGGCCAAGGGATCCATTCAAGAAAAAGGTATCCTCCCGTGCTTCCGTAAAAGAATCAAGTGAGTCGTCTGAAGAAGATAGCGAGGAATTGACATCTGAAGAAGAGCTGTTTGAAAGAAGAGAGGCGTACATCAAAGAACTCAAGGTTGCTTTTTCACTTGTTACCTACTGTTAGGAAGTGATTTTCCACAGTGATCGCTGGGTGGAGTCAGACTGCAAATTTGCTTCATTCAGCTGGTGCGCCTATGTCTGACGGCAAGGAGAACAAGTCCCATCAGTTGCGCGACTGTCGGGCGGCTGAGCCGCGCTGGCACTGTGACGTCCGACAGCGCTGCTACGGCTCGATTGACGCGAATTATCGGTTTCCAGAATTCTCACAATTGGCACTTTGTTTCAGCTCTTTCAAGCTTTGATAAGGAAGTAGGTGAGTTATTTTGAACAATTTTAAATTGTACTGGCTCTGAATGAATCTGAAAGAATGCAAGCCATTTGAATAAATGCCTGAAATAAGGCAAAATACAAGGAAAAGAGCATAATAATAGACATAAAAATAAAGGAAATCAGAGCCAGTACAATTTAAAATTGATTCGAGATATGACTCATCTTCCATTTTCGAAGCCTGAAGAGCTGAAAACGTGGGAATTCGACCGAATTCCATCGAAATCGGCTGATTCGCCGTCACCAAGCCACAGCCGCTGCCGCGTCACAGTGCAGCGCGGCTCAGCCGCCTCCGACAGTCCGCAATGATGAGGTGCACGTCTGCGAAGAAGGCACAATGGTATGATAGACTCTGCAAATCCCACGCGATCGGCCGTGCCTCCAGGGATTTCACTACTCTTCGCTACATGGCTGGTGCTGGTTTATAGCACTGTATTACTTCAACAAAAAAAAATTACTTTTACAGCGCCGTATCCCATGTAAGCCGGACTGCGATAGTCGATTCTACCCGCACTGTACAGCAGAATGTAAATGCGACTATCTCTATCCAGCAGTTCAACGATTTCTGGCAATCCTCCACCAATGCCCCTTTTCCTGAACACGTGCAGGTGCGTTTACTGTTTGTATTGCTGTATCAATGTTGAGGCGATGTGGTGTAGTGGGAAGGGCACGCGCTCACCACGCGGCCTAGGGATCAAATCTCGGAGCGGCTCCTGCACAGGCGCAATCGAAGCTTCTTCCATCACCCAGCGACGGTAAATTAGTAACAGACTCCTCTAGGAGGACAGGAACACCGATTTGTACACTTTACTTTAGCTGACTCTGCAAGTCATTGTATATGCTACATACCATTCGATAAGTTACTTTGATTCTAAATCGAAGTACAATCCGTGCCGCATCCCAAAAAAGGCTTGATCAACGGCGAAGGCGTCATCCTTTATTGCTGTATCGCCTTCAGGAAGAGAAACAGGGAGCGCGAAAAATCTCTCCTATGTTTATTCTCTGTCGAAGTCGACTGGGGAGCGTGCACCTCTTATTAGGCTGTCTAATCAATTCGTTGGGCGCTACGCCTTGTTTCGGCGTCCTTGGATTCCATTCCTCCTACTGGAGGCGGAACCCCCTCTACAGCACTCGTTTTACATGCAGGCCGAGAGGTTCAGGTTGCCGAGTGCTGTGAAAGTTGATCGCGCGCGCGGAACGTGCACCAATGTCCGAATCTTTGACCGTGGTGCCCCATAATGTTCCGAGTCAGATGGTTGTTAAATACGCGTAGTTATATCGTCGTCGCAACTCGAATTTCCCCCCAACAACATTCGATGCGTTCTATACAAGCGGACCCCTGCCAACTACATTG